GGTTCCGACTAGTGTTGTTCTGCTTTAAATCTGTCTCAAAACACTTACTGTAATTTTACTTCAATTTTTATACCGTCCTAAGACTTCCAGTTACCGTCCCTACTCTTCTTTGTACCGTCCCAGGTTTTTTTCTACTGTCCCAAGACTGTTCGGTACTGTCCCAGTACTTTCCGTCAGTGTCACAAGACCCTTGTCCCAGGACCACTGTCCCAAGACTGTCCCAAGAGTACTGTCCCAAGGCTAGTGTCCCAAGGCCAGTGTCCCAAGACCACTGTCTCAAGACTACTGTCCCAAGGCTAGTGTCCCAAGACTACTGTCCCAAGACTACTGTCCCAAGGCTAGTGTCCCAAGACTACTGTCCCAAGGCTAGTGTCCCAAGGCTAGTGTCCCAAGACCACTGTCCCAAGACCAATATCCCAAGACCACTGTCCCAAGACCACTGTCCCAAGACCACTGTCTCAAGACCACTGTCCCAAGACCACTGTCCCAAGACCACTGTCCCAAGACCACTGTCCCAAGACCACTGTCCCAAGACCACTGTCCCAAGACCACTGTCCCAAGACCACTGTCCCAAGACCACTGTCCCAAGACCACTGTCCCAAGACCACTGTCCCAAGGCCACTGTCCCAAGACCACTGTCCCAAGGCTAGTGTCCCCAGACCACTGTCCCAAGACTGCTCTGGTCCAGGACTGCACTGTCCCAAGACTGTTGACAAGTGTCTGAGCAGTGGGACCTCTTTCTTCCTCGTTATGGGGACTTCTTGTTTCACTGTACCTTGTACGACCACTCAAGCTCTAGTAAAAATTTTCCCAAAAATCCTCTCTTAGTGGCCAAATGCTGACCCCCTTTTTTAGTTACCTCTTTTTCAATGTTCCAAGCAACTTGAAACCAAAACCTGTGCGCAGGTATCTTGTGATCACCTGTTCGTATAAAAGCCAAACACAAATCCTTACCAAAATGCAACAAAAATCTAAGCAAGAAAAAGTAATAAAAACAGAAAGATGAATCCACTTAAAATTCAAAGGTGACAAATGTCTACCTTCTATCGAAAAAATGTCTGGTACCTAATTGCCACGCGTTTCCTTCCCCCCTGCTAGCGATCTTATGGGGTATCACAAAAACTGTCTATGTCCGTTCCCCCCTACCGATCCGACCAGGGTACCTACCTTAACCTAATTCCAATTTTGGATATCCGCTTCCTATGACCAACGCGTGTAAATGACTAATGTAACTAAATCAACGATGTCGACTAATTAGTTACTCTAATTTCCCCCTTTTTTACAATTTACAACCGCCAACCTCTAACCTAACCAGCCCCCCTTCTAACCTCCCCCTTTCTAGCCCCCCTTCTTAAGCCTAAAATTACCTTAAGCGCCGGGTGCTAAACCTCTCAAGAGAAAACCGTAGACCTGTCTCCAGGCCTGCTCAAGTAAAAACGTTCTTCAAAACCGGGGGATTTTGCTTATCCAATTTTACACTTATCTCCTATAATGTAATGTGGATTTTAACGATACCCGTTCTGCCCAACTTGAGAACTCGAGAACTTCCAAATCCTTCTTGGCTACTTTCCCACTCGACTGGTCACCTCTTCCAGTCCAGTCTCCTATTGGTTCAGCTCAAGTGCTCCTGAACCACTTTCCCACTCTGCTGGTCACCTCTTCCAGTCAAGTCTCCTATTAGTTCAGCTCAAGTAGTCCTGAACCACTTCACTTTCCCACTCGGCTGGTCACCTCTTCCAGTCAAGTCTCCTATTGGTTCAGCTCAAGTGCTCCTGAACGACTTTCCCACTCGGCTGGTCACCTCTTCCAGTCAAGTCTCCTTGTTGTCCAGCTAAGTTCCAAGCTATCTGAAAACCCTTGACAACGCCCCACACTCGGGCACTTTATTGAGGTTACTGGGTTAAATTGCTGGGTTGATCGAAACGATCGAACTTGTAAAACAGTATGGGCATACTATTTAATTAATATAAAGGTTTGATCCAACTAATCTGGTTTCAAAGTCACTGTCTTTTTTCGTTTTATGGTTTTTGTTCCTTTTTCTATTCTTTTCTGGTTTTTGTTTTGCTTTTTGTCTTTTTGCTCGTGTTTTTGTCCCCCTAGTTGCCCCCTTTTACTCGGTTAGCTAAGCCTCGTTCGGAGAGCGTACCAGGAAGTTTTCTCGAGTTTTCTTAAAAAGCTATCACGGTACAACCGGAAGGTTTGCACGTTCCTGCCGAACCGTACCACCGGTACTCTAGAATGGGCATTCAGCCCGAAGCTGTCTCAAGTGGGTTCGACTCCGTAGTCTTGATGTCGTAAACACCCAGGAGCGCCATAAAAACACTATGTAACATTCATCTACTGTAGTCACACATGAGGCTTAAGAAAAATAGGCCCTATAACCATTGGCTCAAGAGTCAGGGACACTATCTCTTGTGTTTTTCTACCTCAAATCAGTCGGAGCCAATTCGGTTCGCTGGTGACATGAGACTACGACCCGTTACAGCTTAAAGGCTACTACCAAAATATCCCCCCACTCTAGAAATAATAACGTCCCCATACTTAAGTCTCTAGATACCCCAAAATACACGAACGCCGTTAAAAACCGGGTCGGAACAATCCGTTAAGTTACTTTTTATTAGACAGTGGAACTTTGATCCATTTCAGATGGATCAACCTAAAACTCGCCTTACCTCAACATAACAATCATAAAACACACTCTAGAAATTTAAATTAAGTACTCACATCGTAGCACACTCAAGAAAGGGAAGTACTTCAGTCGGTAATTAACTCGAGAATTAAATAATGTAACTAAATGAGTTTTAATGTTTCAATGACAAGGACAAATTTTAACTCTAGGATGTAGTTTCTCGTGAACCATTGGGACACTCAAGCTGTCCCCCTTTCCACCGAAGGTTCACTCTAGTTCAGTTCAAATAATAATCCAATCGAGTGATGACAATCCAGTTCTCGGGAATACGCCTGTCTCTGTTTCAGATGGGACAGCTCTACTCTCGTTCTATTCTGACAGAAATTGCGAATAGCAATTTCCCACTGTTTTATCTAGCAACTTTCCCGCGATTGTTGTTCGATCGTTCTGAATTCTCTTTTTCGGTTTTTAGTTATCGCGAGAAAATCGTGCATGACAGGCTCCATTCGAATTTTTGAAAAATAAAATTTCACCCCAAAATTAAGTGCTCTTGCTTTTCTCAAGGTCAAACTTCCAAATATGACCGACTGGCACAGAGGCTTAAGAAAAATGGGCCCTATAACCATTGGCTCAAGAGTCAGGGACACTATCTCTTGTGTTTTCTACCTCAAAAACGGTCGGAGCCAATTCGGTTCGCTTGCGACATGAGACTAGAACCCGTTACAGCTTGAAGGCCACTACCAAAATACCCCCCCACTCTAGAAAATAAGAACGTCCCCATACTTAGGTCTCAAAACACCCAAAATACACGAACGCCGTTAAAAACAGGGTCGGAACAATCCGTTAAGTTACTTTTTATTGGACAGTGGAACTTTGATCCATTACAGATGGATCAACCTAAAAGTCGCCTCACCTCAACATACTTATTATAAAATGCACTCGAGAAAACTAAATTTGGTACTTACATAGCAGCACACTTGAGAAACAGAGTATTTAAGCTTATTAATAACTCTAGCATATAAATAATTGAATATAACTCAAGAAGTTTTCTGACGACGAGTTCCAATCAAAGGAAATAAGTTTTAATGCAAGAATGTAGTTTTGGATCTGAACCATTGGGAGACTTCAGTTGTCCACCTTTCCATTGAAGGTTCACTCTGGTTCAGTTGAGTCTTGATCTGCTCTTGTAATCGTTCGGTCTCCTATATCAGATAGGACAGCTCTACTCTCGTTTTCTACGCTGGAAATTGCGAATAGCAATTTCCCACTGTGTATTTTTGACAACTTTCCCGCAATTGTAATTCGGCTGTTCTGATTTTATATTTGATATTTTCAGTTGTCGCGAGAAAACTGAGCATGACAGGCTCCATTCGAATTTTTGAAAAATTAAACTTCATTCCAAAACCACGTATTTTCGTGTTCCTCAAGGTCAAACTTCCAGATATGACCGACTGGCACAGGCCTTTAAGTTGTAACAAGGGTTTTAGTCTCATGTCGCAAGTGAACCGAATTGGCTCCGACCGCTTGAGGTAGAAAAACGGAAGAGATAGATAGTGTCGCTGACTCTTGAGCCAATCGTTATAGGGCCTATTTTTCTTAAACCTCATATGTGACTTAAGTAGGCGACTGTTACATTTATATCAATAATTTTAAAAACAAATTTTTTGTTGCTTGAATATAGTCCTCTCCGCAGCTCCTTACAGTTACCTATATTGCTTGGATGTTGGGCGCTCGGCTTCATTCGTGATTCAATTTTGTGTAACATTTGCTCAGCAATTATCCCAACCTCACCCTGCTTGTGGTAATGTTCATACATAATTGGGCATAGTTTCCCGCACCAACCGAAACGAAGTTCCGAGGTACTGGAGCCCATCTCTAGCATAAAAAACGTATTTTCTGGAGTCACTATTGAATTTTAACGGACGCTGCGACCAGTGAAGAGTAGCAACGGATGCTGCGACCAGTGAGTCTAGGCTGGATTTGAAGGCTTTGACATTGTCTGCTATCGCAGCTGTGTGAGGAAGCTCACTCCAAGCTTAAGTTGCAACTGAATTCCTACGCTCGTCCTTTATCGTTTCACCCAGTCTAAAAAGCCTCGGATTTTCATTTTTTTGCGGTAAAGAGGAAGTGTTTTTTTTTTGCGTTTAAGAGGAAGTGTTTTTTTTTGCGGTAAAGAAAAGTATTATAACCTGATTGAAAGTAAAGAGTCGAGATGGTTGGGAATCAAGTAACCCAGGAAAAAGTTAATATCCGTACAGAATAACCCAGAGTTGAGTTTCAATCAGCTTATACTTTCATTTAACAATTCAAGTGTTTTTTTATTAGTAGGGGAATTGTTGTCAGATGCATGTTTTAATTGAGAAATGCTTTCAGACTAAATTGTTCTACAAATTTAGCTCAATATGGAAACGGAGCTGGACTATTCTTATGGTGCGTTCTTCTCACATACAACACTCAAATCCGGAATCAATTGAATATTTTTCAAGATGATGAATGAATGTTTCAGATCTTGAAGTGGACTTTAATTCTGCAGATCCTTTCACAGAGCCGAACAAAACAACCGACTCATCGATACCTGATGACCTTGGGTTTGAAGACAATATCGAAAAGAGTGATGCAACTCAAAGTATTTCCAAGGATGATTTAATTTCACCCCTTGGTGATAGTAATTTTGACGAGGTGTGTAGCTTTTCAATTCATTAAGTTTTTCGATTAACAACTGCGAAGGCGGTGCAAACCTCCGGTCCAGTCCTTGGAGTGGCGAAGATAAGATCGAAATCATCGAGAATGCCTGCCCTTGAAAAACTTTATGAAAAACTTTTCTCAGTGATTCAGTCTGATAGAAAACTGTCAAACGTATATATCAAACTTAACAAACAAAAATTTCTAAAGATAATGGTGTAGAAAGCGGATGAATTGGTCGCGACCCTTCTTACAGCCGTAAATTTCAAACTATTTATTATGTTAAAAAGGAAAGTATTACGGTAAATAGAATAGAATAACGCATAGCCGAAATGAAACGCTTTCTAGACAATTAACTTGTGATTTTTAAAAGGGAGTCGAGATCATAAACTCAACCGTCTCTTTAAGTTCCTTATGAAAATTTTGAAGAAAGGTGTGTGATTTCTTCTCTTGAAGATTTGAAAGAGTTGCTTACGACCGCGTGGAAAAAGGTTAGGTGAAAAGTTGTCAATTACCAAGAAGTTGGTTAATATTGTAGGAAATAATATGAAATAAGTTCCGCCACTCATCTAGATATTCAGTTTTTGCGACTTAAATCGCGTTCAATAGTAGGCGCATGATGTCGTGCCAATGAGGTATTCTCGCGTTAATAATCGCTAAGAAACGAAGCATAATCGGAGTTCCAGTCGCGTAAAAACACTTGACGCAGTTGTTCTTGAATTGTGTCATTGTAAATGGAAGGGTTCTGTTGGATCGCCTCGGTTTGATTCACGATAATCCCGATGCCGCCAGTATTGGTGAAGTAGTCTGCGCTCCAGTTATTAGTTCCAATGTACCCACAGTTATCGGTCACCATGTACTTGTTGTGATTAACCAAGGTGTATTCGATGTAAGGTCCTGAAATATGAAAACGTTTCCAAACTTTAAAACTAAGAAGTGCAATCTGTTGTTTTGAATGCTAGTGTTTCCAAGGGTTGATCAACGAAATGTATTTTTTTTTCGGTCTTGTAAGATTGAAGTTTACCGTTTTGCTATTTTTTGAAGAAAAAAATCTATGATTTTCTTATATTAAAATGATCAATTGTACGGTTTTCTGTAAGTATTGGCCTGCTTTAACCTGATAAATTAGTTGTTAGGAAGATTTGACCAGTCTTATACCGCTTGGTTGTATTGTTGTTACAGTGAAATAAAAATATCGTAGTTCGAAAAAAAAATCAGATTGATTGAAGGAACGTTGAAATTGGGTGTTCATTGCGAAAAAAAATTTAACCTATAAACCGAAAAAAATCAAATGCAGTTGAGTATGGCAGCATATTGAAGTTAATTTTTTGGTATTGAGGTTCTTGAAAGATATTGGCTTGAGCTTTTAATTCGGGCAAGATATATTTTTTTTACTGCGCACAGTATTTACATGCGCCCTTCCTGTATACTGTTTTTGTTCAGCAATTCTAAACGAGATGGCCAGCATTGGCTAGCTCGGGCTATTTAAACTGCATTCATGTTTTATGCTAAATTGTGTGCTTAGCCAGGCTTTATCTCGTAGTTTTGAATATCCAGCATTTGGAAATTAAGGTACGGCGGTCTGTATTCAGACTTTGTGTTAAATCATTATTTGAGATGCAAAGAACTTCGAATATTTCCCCCAGTGTCGAGAAAAAAGCGGTTTGACTTACGTCATTTAGGAAAAATTTTAAAGTTCTCTTGTTACAAAAGAATTGCATTCATGCTTATAAATGCCCATGTGAATGCCCTTAGCTATATTATATATACATACATACATATATTCAAGTCATTTTTAAGAGTAATGAACGTAGTTAGTACTTTTTTTTTAGATCTTGGTGATTTTTTTTTTGGTTTCTCGCGGTTTGACTTGTGATTTTTTTAAGTGCAGTGCATTTCCATTGTTAAAAGGAAGGCAAACTAAACTAGGGAAAAGCATAAGTGATCGACTTCCAATTTCGAAAATGGAATTTAATTATCAGATTTTTCAGCGAAATAGATGTTTTATTTATTGATCCAGTGATTTCAAATTGGTTAATTTTAACAAAAAATGGGCCATCCTTGTGTTCATTACTCTTTTCCAACTGTCATTTCGCTATGTTTTAGATGGTAGGCAAAATGCACTTTCCAATTCAGAAAGATGAAACGGCGCTAAAAAACGTGATCGATTTCTAAATTAAATTCCACTTTCGAAACCAATACGATCAAGTGGAATGTAATACTTCCCAGCGGAATAAAAACTTAATAAATAATAATCAAAAATTTCTCAAATTGGGTTGTTTTTATCAAAAAATTGCCAAGCATAAATTTTTCGTGAAGTTCAAAGAGTATATCAAGGCGATATAGTTACTGTTTGATTAAAACAGGTATTATGAAAGTGTATGGGATTCGGTTTTTTATTTAAATTATTGGAGACGCCTTGGAAAATTTTTTCACTTTTTTCAATAACTTAGTTTAGTTTTTACTAAAACTACTCTACCGATTTTCAAAAATGTGGTAGCAATGGTAAGTCCGACCACTCCCCTGTGTGCCTGCATAATCCCCTAGTCTCATTTTTTTACCTTACCCCACTTTCTACAGCCTTCGAAAAAGTGTGTGGGGGAATTTTTGACCCAAATTTATTTTGGATTTCTTATATTTCTCAAAAACTACTCTCCCAAATCTGAGATTTTGTGTTCAACGGATAGAACAGATTGTGGGAAGCTCCCCTGCATAACAGATTATGGGAAGCTCCCCTGCATTGTAGGAAGCTCCCCTTTTTTGACTGTTTTTTGACTTTTCTCGAAATCTACCCTCCCAAATCTGAGATTTTAGTTTGAATCGAAAGAACGGGTTGTGATAAGCTCCCCTGCATAAGCAGTTACGCCCAAATTTTTTACATAAAAAATAATGATCCTCGGAAAAGTAGATTTTTTGATTTTTGACCTTTTTTTGAAACTTTTAGACTTTTTTCAAAAACTACCTTCCCAAATCTGAAGTATTTTGATTTCAATGGGTAGAACTCTTTGTGGGAGTTTCGCCTGCATAAGAGGTTGCGCAGAATTTTTTACACAAAAGTTATGACCCTCGGAAAAGTCGATTTTTGTTTACTGTTTTTTGAAACTTGGCTTTTCTCAAAAACTACCCTCCAGAATCTGAGATATTGGTTTCTGTGTGAAGAACGGGTTGTGGGAAGCTTCACTGTATAATTGATTGCGCCCATTTATTTACACAAGAAGTTAATACCCTCGGAAAAGTCAAATTTTCGATTTTTTTTACCTTTTTTTGAAAGTTTTTGACTTCTCTCGAAAACTACCCACCCAAATCTAATGAGCAACGTTTTAAGCATCTTTCAACCTGACAAGCTCTTGTAGTAACTTTAGTTTTTAAGAAAACTGAATTAATCTATGAAGTTAAAAGATTTTGATGTCGTTATATTGGGATTTACTTTTCTGCTATAGGTCTGTTTTTGAAATTACCCTTGTCCTTCCGCATCAATACAATAATTATCAAACAGGTATTTCCAGCCTTAGCTGGCCTGTAGTTTTTAGCTTGAAATTCGAAACTTGAGGTTTTTTCAAAATAAAAACAATTAAGTGTTTTTCTTTGCGTCTATTGAATCTTTTACAACAGCCTGTTGGCTATGTTTCAACTTCCATCCATTTGATTTCAATTACTTGGCAGTGATTTGAGATAAGTAAAAACAGTTTTCAGAATACTTTTCGGCACTGTTGCACTGCCGCGAAGCTGAATTTAGGTATAAAAGGGTGACAGTTATTCGCTCGGAAGCTTTATTACTAGATGCAGTATATTGAGCGAATATTGCACTGCGAAGATATTATTAATTTTACACGGGGAAAGTTTATATTCAGTCACTGCCCAACCTCCTTCCATCAAATGTCTCTGAAATTCGACGAAAAATTGTTAAAAGTTTAATTAACGAAGTCAATTTTCACTTTTTTTGGCAGTTTAAGGTTTTAATTTTTAAGTTGAAGAAAGTTTTCAAGTGGAATGAAGTATTTAGCTACCTTGATTTTTAGATTTTGTTTTAAACCGATGAAAGTTCTTTTTAATTGTTTTTCTTAAATATTCTCCCATGATCAAATTGCTATCTTGGGAAATTATTGTTCCAAACTAATGTTTTCTTACCTATCGGTTTCGGGAATTCGAACAGCTTAATTTGTACATTAGATATGTTGCGCAGTTCGTCCAAAGATTTTAAGAAGGTTATTTCGATGTCGCGGGTGCTCTGCCATTTGCTGACGAGTAATTTCACTTCAATGTCGTGATTGATAGACCGGATCAAGATCTCATTATTAATAGTCGGCCAGTATTCGAAACTGGGATCGTATAAAAATCCAGGAACATAATCCATCACTGCTATATATATGAACTTGTTCGATTTTTGCATTATGTCTAAAATGGCGTCCAGATCTCCAGTGCGACCTTCAGTTAAGAACTCTGGGGGCGAAACTGAAATGTATACTTGACTATATATCCCTTGTAAATTGATATTCAACGGGTTTGATTGGTTAATGTGTGTCGCCAATGCTTTGGGCCAACTGTTCGGAAGTGCGGATGTCGGTGTTGCCATAATGTAATAAGAAGTAAATATTTTCAACATGTCATTAGTGAGAGTCGGACAGGTGGAGAAATGAAGTCCCATTTCTTTGACTAAAGTGAGAGATCTCCAGTCCATGTTAGCACTGCCTATGTACAAAGACTTGGTGGCGTTATTGACTAGGAGTTTAGTGTGTAGTATTCCTGCTCCGACCAACTGAGGCATGTTTAACAGTCTCAACTGAAAAAGTGAACTTTTTAAAGAAAATAAACCGTCTTTTCTGAAGTTATTCAAGTTATGAACATATTTTTTGAGTGTTTGAATTTATTTTTTGCTTCGAATAAAAATTTAATTATTTTTTCAATATTTTGGGCCTACCTCTGCGCCTGCAGCTTCTAACTCATCAGTGTCATTTCCTTGAGAAATGCTCCCTGGATAACTGTTCACAATTGTCAACTTAGCGCCTCCTGATTGGGCGATGCGCTTCAGTTCGGCTAAAATAGTTTCGCCCTCGGCTGCATTCGGCTTGGTCTGATTTACCGGATTGACGTCGGACGACCTAAGAGTCCAATATGCCGAAGCTATTTTGATATCTTGATTTGAAATTGAAGATATTTTGCCATTTTTCTGGTCTATGAGCCCCAAAATTGAATTCCATGCATCGTAAGTTGCAGGGTGTTTTACTGCGTTTTGAGGATACTTAAGTATTTTAGGTATTGATTCGACTATTTCGATCGAGCATTCTTCGTCTTTGAATGAGTTTGAATGCAAGTCTCTATCTGTTATCGCTTTTTCAACGTGTATCATCGAATTGACCTCTTTAATCCCGGCAAAAAACGCAAACAGAATAAGAATAGCGAAGCAAGAAATCATAACGATGATGCACGTAATTTCAAAGATTTTATTCGCGTAATGACTTGTAATGGAGCTGTTTGAACTAGTGATAGCTCTACTCAAATGAGCATCGTGACCTCGCCTTCTTGGATTGTAAACAATATCGGTGTGATGCGACAAGTCTTTGTCAGCTGTTTGATTAATAGAACTATTTCTCTGTTCGTCAAGTTTGTCATTCGAGTGAATAGCAAATCGGACCAAGTCGGCGCTATTTGAAGACATCCCATGATTGAAATTTATGAAATTCATTGCTAGCTTCTTTCAAATAACAACAAAAATAATGCCTAATTTTGAAAAAGATTGTTAGAATTAGAAGTAATGTACGGTCAAAACCTATATAAATAATCAGTTTTGAGTTCAGAGAATTTTCTTTTATGGTTCTTTTTAACGACGCGACTTTTATGCATTCGATTATCAATGCTCAAATTCAGTTTATACATTGTTTAGTGTGTAAAAAAGCTGGCTTTTTGAAGAAAATGGTTTGATGGCCGGTCAAACACCGCATGAACAATCTTTCAAAGAAAAAAATGCAAATCGAGTGTCTGAGACTGACGAAAAAATAGGCACATATGCAAAGCTCGTAAAAGAATATTTACGCTTCTTTTTGTTATCGGTTCCTATAAAAATAACCAGTTAGCGTTCAGAAATTTTGCACACTAAGTTGACAACATTTTTTTTATTATACACAAAATAGTTTGCCCAGTATTATTTAAACTAAGAAAATAGAGCAAAAGTTTTTTGTTTAGGGATAGTATTGATTTTTGGCTTAAGTTTTGTAGACCCAAATGTAATGAGTGATGTATCGAGTATCGAGTTCCCAGGCTTAAGTTGTGCTCATGCGTTTGTGAGGTAAAATGTATGCCAATTTTATGAAATTTGAGGGGTAAAAAGTTAAAACACGATTCGGTTTTAGTTTTTTGTTTGGCTGAATAATTACAATAGTGCTTGTATTTGTTTCATTACGTCCATCTAATTGATTTTAATACCGGCTGACCAGCTCTAAGAGGGTGTCAAAAATCTTCACAGTTCCGAAAAAACTGGTCTAATTTTCAGACCAAATTGCACTATATTTGATGACTGAACTCTTTTTTGATTTATTTCAATTTGATTCAACTGCAATTTTTACGTTCTTTTAGCTCTTATTACCTCTCATTTGTGCAGTTTTTTACTTTTATCAATCGCCCTTCAATGAAAAAAAAAACAACTGAAAATTTAGCGAAAAAGTGGCAAAAATTAACCAATTTTGCTGTAACTTAGATACAAAAGAAATGTTCAACATGCATAATAGGATGAAGTATTTTGCATACAACTAAATTTAGAAGCTCTACTTATTGGGGTTCATTGATTTTTTAAAGTTTTTTTTAATAGATTTAGGTTGAAATTCTTTTATTTTCGTTTTATTTTGAAAAATTCACCTTGAGCATACTCAAAGATACTTTGTGAATCTGAAGGCATTGTTTTCGACTTTTGATTTCTACCGGTAAATTGTCACTCTAATTATGATTTTCATAGGCAGAATGTTGACTTTGTTTTTCAAATACAGGGTCTTTAAGCATACGTTTTCAGTTCATTTCTTTTGTTCAAAGGAAGGCAACTCCACTATCGAACCTCAAAAGTTTAAAAGTTACAAGAAACTTTATTGACTTCGAATTTCGAAAGTGGATTTTTTTTTCAGATTTCCCAGTCAAATGAAAATATTACCCAAAGAAGTGGCAATGATAAATTGGTTTTGAAATTGAAAGAGCTTTAAGGCCATGTATTTTTGTTTTGTATTTCGAGGGGTTATTCATAAAACAAATCTTTTTTTTTTCTGTATCCTTGCGCTCATTCACTTGTTTCCAAATATCTGCTGGCTATGTTTCAAAAAAGTGGCTCAAACTAACAAAATTGAAATGTATGATCAAGTTAATTTCACATTGGGTTAACTTTAAACTAAAAACGACGAGGACAAAAGTTGATTGGAATTTTGACAGCTTGTGTATAGTGTAAATTTTTTTCCACCGTGTAAATTAGTTTCCAAAGTAATTTACACCATATTTTCATATGTGTAAATTTTTATGGTGTAAACTATTTTCCTAAGTAATTTAGACCATAGTTTCAAGGGTGTAATTTTTTGGATTAAAAATTACACCCTTGAACGGGTCGAGTTGTCTGATTTTTAGTTAAGCTGAAAATACTGTGTCAATTGAAAATTAATTGACCCTGTTTTTGCTTGCTCGTAAACCAATAGAATTGACCCGTTCTCGGGTGAAATTTTGGGGTCTTATATTGCAAAATAAATTGCTGTTTAGTTTTCAAGCAATGGTTTTCCTCAACGTTTTTAGTCTACACTTGACTTAATTTGAAATAAATCTGTTAGAAGTTTCCCTGTTTGCTTGTTTTGACCAGTTATTTTCAATCAGCATTATTTGAGTTTGTTCAGCTTAAAATACAGTAAATTTCGATAAACCGCGATAATGAGTGAAAAAAAAACATTTTAGTGTCTGAAATGTATCATCAGAGATCTGCGTATTACCAGATAAATGGCTTCAAAAAACAAAGTATTGATAAAATGAGCGAGGAGTTATATATTTTTGAGCGAGACTTTGCTTAAAATCCCTGAGTTCTAACTCTGTCGACAAAGTTGAATACTTCGTTGTGATTTTTTTAACGAAAAGATTGATTATTTTTTGGGAATTACAATATTTCGTTTTTTTTTTTTACTGTGCTCACCAGTAACAAAAGTGAAAATGGCGCGAAAATTATTTCTCAGTTTTAAATAAGGATTTTATTTTATTTTTGCCGAAAAAGAAAGTTGCCTATTGGTCCAGTGTTCACAAATTTGGGTTGTTTGGACAAAAGTTGTCTAATCCTTAAAAATTCTTGAAATTCAAAAAGCTTTAAGATAGATTTTTTTAATTGGAATTGCTTTAAAGTTTTCAGGCGTTCTTTTATGTCTTGTTAGATTGCTTACTCGGTTTGTTATTTTCATGTTTTTTCCGATACCGCTGAATATTGCTACAAAGTTCTCTAAGGGCGCTGAAGAGTTGAAATAATTAACGGAATTGTGGTGTTTCGCTGTTCAGTTTTTGTTTCAAACACCATTAAGTTTTTCTGGGAATAGTTTTTTTGACACGCAAGTTCAGGCACCACAAATCAAAAAACTTGATACAGAAACCAGGTACTCCTGTTTTGATTTCATAAATATATATTATTTTATTTTGAAGGTTCGTTTTTTTTGTTGACAATTTTGTTTCGGTAGTTTAGTTCAACAGAAGTATCATCTCTTTGGTTCGTAATTTTTTCACCAGGTGTACCTCACGTTCAGTAGAGAGCCGAGAAGGTGCGGAGCGCCCCCTCAGTCCGCCACAATTCTGGCTGCCAAATTTTTCCAAGGGGTCCCCACGTTGGTATAACTTTACGGCATCCATTTTTGTCTTACCAACCTCGAAATGTTTCTAAAGGCGCCCCCCTCAGGGATTCGACCCCCTGCCGACCCAAAGGTGCCCTCCTTTGTACTATTTTGAGATATCTGTTTTTGGTGAGGTGACCTAAAAATTTTTTAAAGGAGCGTTCGGCGCCTATATATACTTATTGTTGAGGGGGGAGTCCGCGCCGAAATAAACGCGAATTTTTGGTCAAAGTTTTCCAAAAAGTGCCTAAAAACGCTTTTTTGGCCTGTTTTATTTTCAACAATTTGTCTGCGGCGCAGAAAATTTGGTCAAAATGGGTTATTTATAGTGATTCGGGAGAGCTAGAAAGCCAATTTGCTCGACCTAAAAAAAAAGGTCGACAAAATTTTCGAATTTTTTTTTTAAAATCCGCCCCCTCCTGGAGAAAATCCTAGATCCGCCCCTGCCAGCGGTGCAAAATTTCTTTGACAAAATAGGGTCCTTATTGTATTTTCGGAGAGCTCGGAAAATCAAATTGGTCAACCTAAAAAAAGGTCCGAAATTTCCGAAATCATATTCAAGTCCTAATGGATATGTATCGGATTATAAAAAACACAAAAATTGCCTCAGTGTCGAGAATAACTGGTCTGAACTATTCCGTTTTGCATCGTTATACCTAATTCGATTGCAAGAATGAAGGAAAAAATTTTTGGAAATTTACAGATACTATTTTTTACATTTTGAACTTCGCTACTCGCACATTGACCGGCTGTATTTGTATATTGGCTTTGTTTTCTATATTTTGAGAACAAAACTCAATTTTCTTTGAACTTGGCTCATTTCGGAAAAGATCTTCTTCTCAAAGATTCGTTTGAGTTTGATTTGTTGCGGCAGTTACCCTATGGATACAGCGTGTGGGATACAGCGTTGCACAAAAATCTTCACTCGAATCCTAAAAATAAATAAGTTCGATGTGTTAAATTTTGAATGTTTTTCCTGATAAATTTTGAAAGTTTCTCCTGATGTATGAAAAATGCTTCTTTTCCTCCGTGTATTAAAATTATGGGATGTTGGTACTTTACTTATTGATATTATTGGAGCTGCGTGTCTTCCTCATAGAAGTTGGAGCTGCTTCTGGCTTGGGATCGGAATCACAGTAAAGAATGGTCGATTGGCTGAATGTGTAAATATAGGACTCAAATAATCCATCTCGTGCCATTGAAAGGTACACGTCTGAAGTTAGGATGTCTGAATGAAAGAAATATTGAGGAAATATTAGTCTCACGAAATATCGAGTCAAAGAAGTTGTTTTCAGAATGGCTTTGAAATTAAGAGGTTGAAGGAAGTTTAATTTTTGTCCACTAATTTTAGGGAAGCTCGTTCGTTTAAGATTTTTAAGGTATTGAATAGTTTTGAAGTTTCCGTCAAGTTTCGAAGCGAATTTTTTCTTAGTGAAAAGCTGATTATCAATTGTCGAACCATTGGATTATGAAGTTGGCTTTTATGAGATGTCATATTAAGTCACCGGGAATGGGGGTAATTAAGGGCATTCATCAATTATGGTGGATAGCAACTACAGAGCCACATAAAGGTTCGGTAGGCTAGCTACAAAAATTGAGCGGATCATTTACTTCAATTGTATTCCTCAGTCTCAGGCTATTCTCATCACATTGTGGAAATTGCCCGTTTTGTAGAAAAAAAGTACAATAGACGAATTTTGTTTTTGTGATCGTTTAAAGCTGCTGGGGAAATAAGTAGAATAGTTGCATTGCAGTCGTAAATAAGCTCTTTGAGAAAATCAACTCAAGTGAAAACGGTACCAAAACAGTCTTAAGCTCTGTCTCTCATCATATAAGCGGTTGCTTAGTGATGTTTTAAAAATTTACTTCAGACAATTGAATTGCAAATAAGGTCCAAAATAGCTGAAATCTATTAGGATAATGTTTTACGTATGACAGAATTGATTGAAAACTGTTAGTCAAACTGAAACGCAAGCAGCTTTACCGTGGTCGAATTAGTTCCATGTTAAGTCATTTCGGGAGATTCCCTCTTGTCAGAAGAACCCTATGCCCGAATTTTGTTAGCCAATCACAATTCAGTTTGACAGTCGGATAGACGACCTGTAATCGAAAATCTGATAGGCTGAATGGAACATCGGTTAATTTTGGTCTATTGGAAGGACTTGGGTTTGTTGAAAATTTTCGTACAAACAATTGGTCCTTAGTGATGATAATTACCAAGTTACTAGAACACAGATCGAAACTCACTGCTAACAGATCAAATGGCGGCAATTCATTTGATTCGACCTCTCTCAAAGCACTACGAAGACCCAATATTTTCATCATAAATCATTAAAGTACTGATTAAAAGGCAAAAACGTGAAACAGTTCATTCATTTCCTCGGTTGAAATTTAAAGGCTGCAACTTTTTTTCCTAAGAGTATAATTGTGGTTTGAAAAAAAAAGTATTTTGAATAACTACTTGTCTGATGATTCAGAATCAATCAACGTAGTTCAGACTGTTTTTTGGTCATGATGATTTTTTTTTTCATTTACCAGGAAAAATCTCAAAAATTATTCAGCTTAAAATTAGATTTTTTGCGGTATGAATTTAGATTTTTTTTCAAGTTCAGTTCATTCACTTTGTTCAAAGGAAGGCAAACTCCACTATCGAGCAGCAAAATCGTAAACGTAACGAAAAAAATGTCATCGACTTCTGATGTAGAAATTTGAATTTCATTTTCAGAATTTCCAGCAAACTAGAAATTCTACTTATTGATCCAGTTTTTCTCAAATTGGGTTAATTTTTTCAAAAAAATGATTAATATGAATTGTTCTAGAAATTGAAAGAGCTTTAAGAGCATCTATTATCCAAGAAACAAGTTAGTGTTTTTCTGTTACTTGCGTTCATTGACTATTTTAACTGTCTTTTGGCTGTCTGATATTAATGAACGCAGTGAGTACTTTTATATATGTCTTGGGATTTTTTCGTTTTTTTTCAGGAAATTTGTTCACGCTCAATTTGGATTTTTCGCGGTTTGACTTTTGAAGTTCACTTCATTTTCTTTGTTAAAAGGAAGGCAAATTTCACAATCGAACAGTAAAAGAGTGAAGGTCACAAAAAATGTAATCGACTTCTAGTTTCGAAGGTGGAATTCAACTTTCAGATTTCCCTGCGGAATAAAAATTTTAGCTATTCATCCAGTTTTCTCAAATTATGTTAGTTTTATCAAAGAAGTGCTAATCATTAGTTGGCTTTGAAATTGAAAGAGCTTTGAAGCCATATGTTTTCACTTTGTAATTCAAACCTCTTTAAAACATGATTTAAAAGATATTGAAATCTGAGCTCATCCATTTTATCTTAATTATAATTTTAGTTGGAAAAGAGTCAATGAACGCAAAGAAACAAAAAAACTGACTTGTTTGTTTTTGAAAAATTCTCAACTTTTGAATAACAAAGTCAGTTTTTTGTTTCTTTGCGTTCATTGACTCTTTTCCAACTAAAATTATAATTAAGATACAATGGATGAGCTCAAATTTCAATATCTTTTCAATCATGTTTTATAGAGGTTAATGTTTCATGTGAAATTACCCTTGTGATAAGCAAGGGAATTGCAATCGAGTACTAGACTCTTTTTTACCGTAAAGAACTTTGTTCACAGAGTGGACGAAATTTTTATTATTTCATAAGCACCATGGTTATTGTAGTGTGTAGTAGTTGCATATAAGTTATGGGCTTTGGGTTCTTGTTCAGATTTTTTTGACATTTGATTTTTTTTCTCAGTGGACTCTAATCTTTTTTTAATGGCAACCATTTCTTTTGAAAAATGAAAACCAAACAAGCCTGAAGTCATCATTTCAGAATCAAATCAAATCACAGTTTTCGTTAATTTTGTTTGAAAATTTTTAGTAATTCTGTCAACTTGAAATTCTGTCTGCTACTTTTCCTAATTAACTTGTTCTATTCCTATAGTTTTAAGTAGTTGCAATGTGTTAAAATTGTAGCAAAATAAGTTTTTTCGTGGCCAAGTTTTAAAAAAACTTTTCATTTAATTTATTTTATTTCCAGATAGTTTTGATATGTTTCCGGACTCATTTAAATGGTTCAATGAGACGCTTTTTTTTAATCGATATTAGGTTAATTGTGTTTTTTTTCGATAGAGATTTTCTTCTGCTTTTTATTTAAACTTGTTTTTGTCTGACCGAAGTTTTTTCAGGAATTGAAATCGACGATTGTTTTCGGCTTGAGATCTTTTTTTAAATTCATTTGTTCGTTCATAGCAGCGTCTGTTTGTTTCTTCATCTTTGTTTGATACGAGTTTTTTGAGCAATTTCTTTGACCAAGAATTATTAAATTTTGAATTTTGTAATTGTTTTTGAAGTTTATCATTTTCAATTGAATGTTGTTTTTTGGAAAGTTTTTTCAGGTGGGGTGTGATGTTTGTTTAATCTTACTTGTTTTGATTCTTGCGAAATGATATAAAATTGTTCGGTAATTGAGTATTGTTTTATCTAATAAAAAATCAGAACTCGTTTTTTTCATCAGTGTGCTGTTTACAATTAGTTTCATCGAGTGTATTCTATATAGGTGGCGGGTTTTAAACGTCAGTTGGGTTCTAGATGATTTTGTTGCTGGTTTGGTTTTCAAAAATGTTTTCCAAAATTTTTCCAATCTGATTTTTCGTAACTTTTTTCTATCGCAAGTGTTGCGAAGCTGTTCTTCACCTCTATGTAGATTTTCATGATTCATCAGAATTTTGGATTTTTTGCAGTACATTCCCTAAATTTGTCGGCTAATGTTTACGCTAACGGTTCATTAAGAAAAGTACCTGAAATAAAATAGTTTTAAAGAGTGCCGAAGTTCAAGAAATTATAAAGCTGTAAAACTAAATCAGTGAAATTAGAAGTCATAAAATTTTGCAAGCAACCCATTACTATGGCAACAAAAATGCCTACCGAGTTTAGCGTACCGGAAGTCGAATTCATTATAAAGTTGAAAAGCTGAAAGGCCAAAAATTGTTCATTTCTGGTAGTTTTGAACAGTTCTCAGTTTTAGAAAAGCTTGTAATTCGGTTCTCTTGAACGCGCCCCTGCGCTAACTAATCTCGGCTATTTCATGTCATTTCGCTATTTGTCATTGTACTGTCACCACTAAATAGTTTCATAATCGAGCCAAAAGCTATATGAAACATTTAAATCAACTCAATAACTATAAAACTATTACAACGTGCTGAAAATTCAGGTTGCCGAAACTATTAAGTGTATTAGGTTGCCGATAGTTGAAACATTTTTTTGACTTAATAAGCTGCATCCTTGCGTGTACAAAGGCGTTGCGGTTTGTGAACAATTTGTTATCGAGTCCTCCAGCCGCTAAGACATGGCGGTGTTGCTGCTAAAGCCTCATTTTTTTTGAAACCCCAGACAATAGTTTTGAAAAATGAATCGAAGGAAATTCTGAATTCTAGAATGACATCTTTTTATCATTTTACTCCGGTTAATTTTCCGGAACGAATATTTTTTGATCTGAGATGACTATAAGTTTCTTGTTTTAGATGACTAAAATAAATTTTCGGCATTCTGATACCTCGGCACGTTGACCCTCCGCCTAATAGCTAACTGGTAATTAATTGCATTGAAAAGAAATTATAATTTGGAGAAATTGTAATCATATTTTAGCTGTCTGCTTAGATACAACAAACTTTGAATCAAAACTAATTTTGAAAATGATTGTTCCAGCGTCGTTTTAGTTATTTATGTTCCTAAATACATCATTGAAAAACCTCAATTAATTTTATTAAAGACATTTCAAAGTCTTAATTTCCCCTGAATAATTTTTGCCATGTTGGTATAGTTGTAAATATGAGAAATGATAATGATGTCCTAACTGTTTGCTATAAAGCAATCAATAAAATGACTGATTCTTAGGCTTACGATTAGCAAGCGTTATGAAATCGAAATATAGTTGTTTTCCACGCAAACAAATGGTCTAAAAGAATCTCCGAATAATTTGTTACCACTCGCCAACTACGTGATTTCTTTAGAGAAGAAATATTTTGATCAAGTTTTTAAGCACCCTTTCTTTTTGAAATTGCCCCGTTGTTTCGGTAATCATTCAGCTCTGGCAGTAATCTTAATTCGCGTTTTTTTTACAAAATAATCTATTATATATTTAAATGCGGGCTTCACTATCTCGCCATGTTTAAGTTTTTTCAACGTATTATTTTTGCATGTTTAGCAAAAGAATTTTTTCACGTTTAAGCTATATCGTATATTGCAATGGTTAAGGTTTTTTTTCGATTTTCCAGTTTAAATTCAGTGTTTAATTCATCAAGTTTGAAATTAGCAACCCAATAGTAGGATATTGTCAGAGTTTTCCCAGGTTTTGCGATTCTAGCCTTCATAAATGAATAACCAAATCCTTTAAGTTTACGAGATGGGCAATTTTCGAGATTTTTCTTTTCGAGATTTTTCAAAAATTTCTAGAAAATACAATTTTAAAAAATTTCTCAAGTTTTGAAGTTTTCACCCGTAGTTGGATGCTGTCAAGTTACTCTCAGGGGTTGCGAATCTTGCCTCTAATTCTCTGTTCTCAAATACTTGTAGTTTTCGAGATATGACATTTTTTATGATTTTTTCGGAAAATTTTCAAAAACTTGGATTTTAAAAAATTCCAAAACGTTGAAGATCATACTCCTCTTGTTGGATATTGTGAGGGTACTCTCAGGGGTTCCGAATCTTGCCTGTGATTATGGCTGCTCAAATCCTTGTAGTTTTTGATGATGTTTTTTTGGATTTTTTTCAAAATTTTTTTTTAGAAAACTTAGGTATGAAAAATTTCGTAAAACTCGGAATTATCATCTTTGTAGTGAGGCTTTGCCAGGGTACTCTCAGGAGTTGCGAATTTTGCCTCCCAATATGACTGCTCAAATCCTTGTAGTTTTCGAGATATGGCGTTTTTTATGATTTTCTCCGAAATTTTCAAAAAAAAACTTAGATGTTAAAAAGTTCCAAAACTTTGAAGATATTAATCCTGTTATTGGAATCTGCGAGGGTGCTCTCAGAGGGTTGCGAATCTTGCCTCTCAATATGGCTGCTCAAATTCTTGTAGTTTTCGAGATATGACGTTTTTTAGGATTTTTTCAAAATTTTTCAAAAAACTTAGGTATAAAAAATTTCACAAAACTTGAAATTATCATCTCTGTACTGAGGCTCTGTCAGGGTACTCTCAGGAGTTGCGAATTTTTTTTTCTAAATAGGACTGCTCTAGACCTTGCAGTTTTCTTTTTTCTAAATTTTTTTTCAAAGTTTTAAATTCCTAACCTGTAGTTGGGGGGCTGTCAGAGTAAACCCAGGTATTGCAAATTCGGCCTCCAATTAAGAATGCTAAATCATTTTTGTTTAAGAGATACGACGATTTTTGTTGTTTTTTTTGAAATTTTCAGAAAACTCAATTTACAAATTAATTCGTTAATTGAAATTACCAACCCTGTAGTTGTGTACTTTCAAAGATTACGAGTATTGCCATCAAAAAAGACTGCTCAAATTTTGGCAGTTTTCGAGATGTGAATTTTTTTTTTTGGTTTTCAAAAAAATACCTTTTTTAGAAAACTTGCCGGGAAGTTTCTCAAAATTTGAATTTCTCGACGTTGTAGTTCGATACTATAAGAGGACTCTCAGGAGTTGCAAATCTTGAGTCCAAATGCGACTGCTCAATTGCTTTGAGTTTCCCAGATGTGACGTTTCTTAATTCATTATAAACTTAGATATAAGTTTGAATTTTAAAAAAAAACGAATGAAAAACTTTACAAAATTTGAAGTTATTCCCAGCAGTTGCAAATCTTGCGTCCAAATGCGACTGTTCAATTGATTTCAGTTTCCCAGTTGTGACGTTTCTCAGTTCATTTTAAGTTTTTTGAAGACCTTATTTAAAACTTCACAAAATTTTATGGTTCTTCAAAATTTATATAAAAAGCTTGAATAAAAAACTTTGCAAAATTTGTAATTACGAACCCTGTAATTGGGTGCTGTCAGAGTACACTCAAAGAATAGTTTTTTTGAGTTGTTGAAAATTTGAAGCACCGGAGATGCGTTACACGCTAGTTTTTATTTAAAATCAGAAAAATTTGGTAGAGCTAGTTTTTCCCGACATTTTGTTGAAACATATTTTTAATTTAGCGGCTATTTTGCATTATCGTCGACTAGCTTTCCAAACTATGTTTTCATTGAATCACAAATGATATCGCCTTTGTTCCGCGGTAAAATACTAATTATAATTTCTACGCTTGCTTGATTATCAATACTCCTGTAGCCAATGCATTGATCTAAATTGCAGATAATTCTTAGTCCGACTTATAGACTTTGCGGTGACTGCAGTAGCAATTTTTATTTGCGAATTACAAGACAAAAATTAATTTGAAATAAGTATAGCCCCAAAAATTAATCAGGTCTAGTTTTCTTGCAAGGGGCTAGAAGCAACGATTAACGAAAATTTTTGTGTATCTTGCAGCTTTCGAAAAACTGAAGAAATCAAATTTAAGTGAAAACCAGCAACTGAGTTTAGGAAATCTCGTTGTGAAATTTATTCGATCACGCTCGCTTTCTAGCACGATCACATATTTTAGAATGCATAATTTTTATACTTATGCATAATTCATGAAGTTGTTGGCTCAAATTGTTAAATTTACAGACTATTTAAAAGTGTTGATAATAATTACTGGAAAACTTGAAGTTTTCGTGAGCAGGTCAAGTAACCATTAATTGTTGTATTTTGTACCAATTCGCGTTTCGTTCATCGTTCAATTTGTTTCGAAATAGGTCTTAGGAAATCACCAGCAAAAATCGCCCAGCAACTCAAAGCTTGGTAAGTAGTCCAAAATACTATTGTTACCATTGTAATAATACGAATATAAAGTTCCAGCTAGCCAGTAATTTTAATTATTTATTTCTAGATGAAGAGTTCTATATAGGCAAGTTAGATTCTGATGGGAAAAATGCGCCGACACGTGATCAAACGACGTTCTCGGATGTCAGTTCAGACGAGGAGAACGAAGGCGGCGGAGGCAGCAGCAGTCGGAACAGAAGCAAAGAGGGATCATCCAATGGTACGGGTGACGGGTTGATGAAAGAGAGATGATCTCTTGATTCAGTGTTCACTTTCCATAGACATTTTAAGAGTAAATATTTAAACCATGTAGCTGCACAGGTTGCAGTGGTTTTCGGAGAATTGCATTTTCCGGGGCACCACGGTTCTCGGAGAGCCATTGTCACAATGGTTTTTCGAGAACCGATGTCATACCAATAGTTAACTCCTTGAAACGTTTCCGGTTATTTTTCTATGCTGCTAATTGAAGGAGCAAACAGTAGCGCAGTTCATGGTAGTTCACAGTAGCGCAGTTCCTGATTTTCGGGCGCCCCCTTGAGAAAGGAGAACACTGAATAATATTGGTTTATTTGAAATTCAAGCGGTATTTCATCGTATTTCGATATGATTTGTTTTGTTGTTAGCAATTTTGAGCTATAAAGATTGCGTGTTCTCTTCAACTACCCTTTTGTACTTAGTTAACTTTATCCAGGCCTGTTTAGACCTCACTCAACGGTTCTAAATATGCTATTTGGGTACGCAGTGGCAAGTTTCACCCTTTTGGAAAAAGGAGATGTAGATTTTTATATGGAAAATGTGGAAAACGCATTTTCGATCGACCAGTTTTTTTAAATGTTTATTCTATTTACTTATATTTCATTTTTGGTAGATCAAAATTAACAATTAACGTGACCTTTGTTGTAGGAAGAACAAACGAAAGAGCCAATTCCAGAAAGAGGAAGTCTTCGCTCTCCGATGGCCTGAACATCGACCATAATACCTCAGCAGAGGCGAAACTCAAGCAAGCCCAGAGTCCCCCAGCTAGTACTGAGTCAGAGAGAATCAGGACAACTCTGGAACGAAGTTCACACCAGAGTCACTTCCACGCTAACTCAGAAACAGAAGCAGTTCATGTTAATCAAGAAGTAATGACAGGTTGGTTACACAGTTGAAAAAAATGAAGGTTGTTTTCTAACGACCTAATCAAATAGTGATCCCATATAATGCTGATACGGTGACCAATAGGAAATATATTAATTTCTCAAAACTCAAATGGGTGTGTTGTTGAACCGAAATTCAAATCTGAAAACGTTCGTTATTAAGTGTAAAAGAACGAAGTGCTTTTCACTTAAATATGTCTTGATGTTTTTTTTAAGTTTGTATACAGTGCTGATTTAAATTATCCGGACGAAACAAACAAAACTTGAATTTTCAAACACGTTTTTCTCAAATTGGGTTGAGATTAGACAAAAAGTGAAGAGGATAAAAGTTACTTTAAATTTTCCCCAGAATTAATATGGTGCCACTTTTTCTCCAAAATTCTCAACAAAAGTTTTACCCCAAAAATGGGTCATTTTGGCTTTTTTCAATTAATCAAGAATTACGCTGAAACTACTTTGTTAATTGATATGAAAATTGTATCACAGGAAGCCTCTTACGCAGTTCAACAAAGTTTAAGAAGGGCTAAATCTCCAAAAACCAGTATAAATGAAAATATTTTCACTTGATAGTCAATAAATGTAATTTTTACTATATAAAACCCAGAATCTCTGTTTAAAAATAAATTTTAAACAATTTGCGCAAATGTTTGGAGATTTAATCCTTCTTAAACTTTGTTGAACTGCGTAAGAGGCTTCCTGTGATATAACTTTCATATCAATTAACAAATTAGTTTCAGCGTAATTCTTGATTAATTGAAAAAAACCAAAATGACCCATTTTTGGGGTAAAACTTTTGTTGAGAATTTCGGAGAAAAATTGGCACCATATAAGTTCTGGTGAAATTCTAAGCAACTTTTGTCATCTTCACTTTTTGTCTAATCTCAACCCAATTTGAGAAAAACGCGTTTGAAAATTCAAGTTTTGTTCGTTTTGTCCGGATAATTTAAATCAGCACTGTACGCTTAGTTTTGATTTCTCACGGTTTGACTTACGATTTATTTTTTTCGCAGTTTGACTTTATCTCTGGAAAAGTGAAAAGATCATAAAAAACGTGAATGACTTCTAGTTCAAAAATGGACTTTAATATACTGAATCCCAGCGGAAAACAAAAACTATCTTTTGATCCAGTTTTCACTAAAGAGGATCCGACCGAAATTAGTATTTGAAAGAGCTTGAACGTGATATTTGTTTTTCTTCGAATTTTGAACGTTGAAAAGTGTTCAAAACTTTTCAATCAACTTTTTGTCGGTTTCCTTGTTTTATAAACTATTTGAAATAAGCAATAGATATCTGTTGGAATATTTTGAGTGAAGTTTAAATGATTTCTTTTTTCAGGCGGTGAGTGTGGGGGGAACCCATCTTCCCTTGCTGCAGGAGTAGTAGGAGCAGCAGCAGCAGCAGTGGAACCGATGTCTGAAGACGCAGAACGGGAGATGTGGCTGAAGGAACTTTTCAAGGGAGCTAGGTTCTATATGATCAAGAGCAGAAACGACCACAATGTTCAGTTGGCTAAAGCTAAGGTGAGACATAGAGTCCAAGTCTGCTAATGGAAAAGTTTTTGCGACATCAAATTTTTTATAGTTAATTTTCTAATTTTGCCGAAGCTGCCTAAAAGATTTTAACAGTATTGTACGCTCTAATCACTTAATAGTATATATTTAGAATGTGTGGTCGACGACACCAGCTAATGAGCCCAGACTGAACAAAGCCTTCAAGGTTCGTTTTTATTTTATATTGAACTATTTAGTTGAAAAATAATTAAGTCGAGATTTAAGAATAATGATTTTTCTGTTTTTTTTTCAGAGCAGTCGAAATGTCATTTTGCTGTTTTCTGTGACGGAGAGCCAACGATTCGCTGGTTAGTTTTTTTTTAATCAGATAAATGCTAAACATAGTTTTGAGCTTACTGTTTTGAGTTTGAGTTATCCCCATATAGTCCCGGCGCGTTTTTCTCGAAAACCATTTAATGGCAGGTTCAGGAGGGGCAAGGCAGGGCAGGGCGAGGAGAGGCAAGGCGGGTAAAGCCAGGCAGGGGGGGGGGGGGTGCAAAGCAGGTAGGGTAGCGCAAGGCAGGGCATCCATCTATCCAGTTGATTTTTTTGCCATTTCGTTCTTTGCGGGAAATGTTGCTTCTACTGAAAAGGGGATTAGTTTGCCACTTCGCCTCGCACTTTGCTTAAAAAGAAATTTGTCGTGAATTTTTTGACTTTAGTTTTGGAGTGTGTTGACCATAAAAACGCACTAGCTATAAGCGTCATTTTGAGCTTGATGAAATCTCAACAAAATCAACTGGACTATAAAGACGTCATGAGAACATCAATATGCGGTGCTGCTGCGCACCCACAAATAAATGCTGCACAACAGATATTGAAAGTGGTTCTAAATTTGTTTCTGTGTCTCTTCAGGTTTCGCCCGACTGGCCAGTGAGAGTGATGCCAGTGCCCCGATGCCCCCCTGGCAGCTGCCTCCAGGCATGTCCATCCGCGCACTCAGTGGAGTATTCCAACTTGACTGGATCACTAAGTCAGTATACGCCTCATAAACTTTAAAGCTTCTCTTTATTCGATTGAGGCTTATTTATATGTTTGACTTAAAGCAGAGTGTTTGTATTGGCCGCTTCTGGTAATGAGCCCAAAGCCACAATAGAAATATAGTTTTTTATTGCCGACATCCGAGATCAAATGCGAGATTTTTATTGATTGATGGTTTAAAGCTAGCGTTGTCAGAGACCTGATTAGCTTGAAAAAGTGTGAATGAATGGTCAATAAACAAACCTGCCCGGACACTGATGAGGGAAAGTTTGACTGCTTTGAATTTAAATGAATGGAACCCGTGCAAAACTGATAAACCAAGGAGTTAACTTCACCTAATTCATGCTTCAGGGAGGAGCTATTGTTTGCGAATACTACCCACTTGTACAATGAGTGGAACCTCAGGAAGCCTGTGAAGATTGGACGCGACGGTCAGGTAAGGTCAGAGTTCAATCTCCGCACCCTCATTCCGTTATGTAATCAAATTCGACATTTGAAGAACTCAATTGCAAGGTCATAGAAGTTGAAAGCTTTTTGGTTTGTTGGAGCCATCGTGGGAAAAGCGCTATGTTTTAAGTATTTCGAGGGTTATTTGATGCATTAGCTTCAATGCTACAATTCCCTGTTTCGAATAAATATTGGAGTGATTTGAATCTTTCTCAAGCTAAAAGTTGATGAAAATGATCAATTTCAAAGAAAATATGATATTTTCTCTCCCCTTGAAACTTTGTGTTGACATTGTCCATGATATAACTCGTTTCACTGTAAATTTGATGTTATGTCTGTGTGTGTTTGGAATGATGTTGGGCAAAAAAGATCATTTGTTTTCTGTATGTTTTACGAAATCGTTTTCTATTACAATAAATAAATAAATAGTCAATTAATGTTACAGGAAATCGAACCTTCGTGCGGTGAAAAACTGTGTCGTCTGTTCGAGTTTTCACCAACAATCGACATCTACGTGATTGTGAAGAAAGTGCGAGCTCACGAGAAGGCCAGAACGACACGAGACACGACAGAACCCCCCGAGCCCCACTACTACGGAGGCAGAGGGGGCTACGAAGGCCGAGGAGGTGGGGGGTTCCGAGGGGGCTATAGACCGTACAGGGGTTACAGAGGGGGGTACAGGGGTGGATATTATGGAGACAGGTACGACCACCACGAGGACTACTATAGTAGTAGAGACAGGAGGGAGAGGTCAAGGTCGCCTCCGAGGGGGTCAACATCAAGCAGATCAAGGTGGGTCGATTATTCCTCAAAGTTTCTTAGTGAAATGACGCAAAAATGGTCCCTTTTTTAAGAGTAATGAATGTAGTGTAGACTGTTATATAGGTCTTGCTGATTTTTGTTTTTTTTTTCAGGAAAAAGTCTTAAAATGCTCTTATAACTACAGATGTGCATTCAAACATATTAATGCATTTATGAATGCCTTAAGGTATATACGCACTTTTGAGTTCAATTGAAATTAATCTGCTGAAAGTTACGTAAATAGCACTCTCCAAACACGAACGTCGAAATGGCGCAAAAAACGCGAACGATTTCTAGTTTCGAAAGTGGAATTTAGTTTTTAGATTTCCAGCGGAATAAAAACTTTACTTATTGATCCAGTTTTCTCAAGTTGGGTTAATGTTATAAAAAAAACGCCAATCATAAATTTTTCTAGAAATTCAAAGAAAAAGCATCAGTTTTTTTCTTTGAAATTCGAAAGATAAGATTTTTTTTTCAACAAAGTTTACTTGCGTTCATTACTCTTTTCCAACTGTCAGTTAACTATGTTTCAATCGTTTCAATATGCCACAATAGTTTTTGTATCATTTGATGCCCTTTATTCAATGAATGTCGGTTGCGAAGTTTATTTTTTTCCTGTGGATTTTAGCTACAATGAAACGAGCTGCCCAGCTATGTTTAACGATTTTGTGTGGTAAATTTTATTTTGCATCTCATAATTTCTTTTCTAAAGAACTTTCCATGTTATATATCTTCCACTGATAAGTTGATCTTTTTACATTTTAATGCTCCCGGTTGAACGTTTGGCGTATTCAAGAATATAACTGAAACTATGATAGTCTTGTTAAGTCTCAGTGAATGTATTTGGAACTTTCTTCAACAAAGCTCTCATTAATTTACTCTATCTGCTGTATGTGTTTTTACATGCGTTAGTTTGACCTCAAGTCAACATGTAATAATTCGTTGATCTTCTAGGGGCTTCAATAACGAGTACTTCTCAACTCGTGGTTCTGGGTCCAGCAGTCGACAAGACTACGAGCGAAGACATAGTCGGGAACGCTCCTCGGAACGACATCGCAACGAAGAGTCATCTTCCTCGAGACGGAGGGGGGAGGATCGAGGAGGCGATGAGAGTCGGGGGAGGGGGTCTTCGCCTTATGGAGACCACGTGAGCAAAGAGACAATGTTGCATGGCAGCTACAACGACTACATGCGAGAGTTTCACAAACAGATGCAAAGAGCCTACCCTGGTTTTCCAGGACCGTTTCCGCCTCCTGTGAGTTGTCGCCATAAATGATTTAACCTTTGAAACGACATCAGTAGAAACGGAAACAAGAGAATGAAGTACATGAAGTTTTCTCGGAAACCTGGGAGATCTGTTTTTCATTATATTTTTAACCGTTAACACATAACAGCGGTTAACAGTTGGTGCCCCCTTGTAGAAGCTGTTTTACCGTAGATTTTTGAATACAGTTCAGAAAGATTGCTTGGAAAGTATTGTTCATTTTTTAGCCGGTGGATTGCTTCGAAGTTAATGTTTGTACAGATGCGTTTTTAATCTATGTCCTTATTTTTAAGCAACCATCACTGTTGGTCTTCTCTGCTGGTGAAAATTGATATCTATGTATTTGTATTTGCTCTAATGGTGTATAACTGTTGGTTTCAGTTCATGGGAATGCAGTTCTACCCGCCCCCATTCTCAGTTCCTCCTCCCAACTTCGGAGCTGCTGTTCCCTCCATTCCCACCAAAGAAGACGTAAATTACATTACCAATCTTTCATTACTGCTGAAGTGTTAATGACTGTTGTTTTAAATTGTTTTTCAGAAAAATTCTTTTAAGTTGTTGATGCTCAAAGTTATCTTTTGGCTCTTCAACTTTTGGTTTCTTTTTTAGGTTCACTTCAAATTCATTTGCGGAAGGAAAAGCAAATTTTCATCTCCGTTAACAACACTAAATATCGCAAAAATGGAACACATTTCTTACTACAAAAAGTGAATTATTCGTTTTCCTCGCGAACGTAGTGTATTAGAACGAACATTATTTTTTCATAACCTAACTGGCAAATAAAAGTGTTCATTAAAAGTTCACTTATTTGTTGGCACTTTTGCTATCATCACGATGTGTAGCATTGGACATCTCATAGCATCTGTTCTCTGATTTATTTCTGGCAAGTGTTTTTTATTTATTAAGCGTCCGTGGCTCAGTGGGTAATGCGTGAGACTCATAATATCTCGGTCGCAGACCGAATTCGAGACCTGGCCGAATTTATACTAATTATTTCTACTTTTTCTTATTGCACTTATAAAGCTGCTTTTTGTCGTGTTTTCGCTAGTGTCTGCGAAGCCAAGCATCGGATCTGTTTAAAATTCTAGCGAAATTTCAAAAAAAAACTTTTGGTCCAGTTTTCTCAAATTCAATCGAAAACTGTTTTTGGAATTTCAAAGCAGTTTTCTCAAATTCAATCAAAATTCTGTTTTCGGAATTTCAAAGAGCTAAGGCCATATTTTTTCTTTCGAGCTTTTTGGAACTTCTAGAAAGAACAGCAATTTTCTCGGCTTCGTTGAGTTCGTGAACTCTTCATGAGCTCTGTGCATTTGCTAACTTCAATTGTTAATATTGAATGTTTCGACGCAAAATTAACGGAACTGAAAAATTATTAGTGGTTCTAACAGCTGATTTATTATCAGGACATAGAGACACACGCGAAGCTGGTTGATAAGTTCCTTAAAAATACCCGACATCGCAGCGACTCCTCGGCCTCCCGGTCGGACTACGAGGATGAGGACGAGGACGAAAATGTCAGTGACGACGAAGCTGCAGACGACTCACTCTCGGATGGCGATGCTTTCTCCGGTTCGTATGAAGTGAGAGCGGGTAAAAGATCTCGCCGAAGCACGAGTCGTCAACGCAGTGGTCGGACCAATAAAAAGTCCACTCATCGTAGCTCCTCAGTGGATAGCGAAGACGATGAAGACAATTTCATCCAATATTCGTCAAAGTCAGCCCAAAGGAAATACTAAAACTGAAAAGAACTTGATGTTAAACTGGAATAGAGCAAACGTGAAATAGTGTTACTTATTTTTTCTTAGAAACCCAATTGAAACTTTTTGCTAGTACTGTTTATTAAATTCCATTTGGGATAAATTATAAAAATGTGTACCGGGATTATTTCAATAATTTTGGCTTTCGATAATTTACATAACAGTTTATTCCATTTGGATTGTAAAAACTAAACGAAAATCTTTGATATTGTCGTATTAAGGCCATTGACAGTGATGTCTTAAAAGTTGGATCCAAAAAAGAAGGAATTTGGGATCAAATGTCTAAATTGATAAAAAGCACAATGGAAAAAGTATATGTCTTATTTAAATATTGAATAGGCAGTTTGACAACTACGAGAAGATCTAGATGGAATAGGTGCTCCTCGGGATTTTGACACGCCCTTTATTGTTCCGACCGCCTACCTAGAGTTTGAAAAGAACTGCGGCTTAGGGCAAGTTTATTTTTTCCGCGCACGATCAAGTGCAACTAATAAAGGTAAGCTGGGCCAAGTGACGTATCATATAAAAATCCTTTCCTTAGTGTCACGTATTTGAAGAATCGAGAAGACTATTGCTAGTCTTTTCATTTTGCCTTTTAACTGCAAAAATCTGCGATGCAGGTTGCAATCAACAACAATTTATCCGGATCTCCCTTTCTCAAATACTTACTCTCCAAACTCTGTAGAAACAAGTTATGGCCTCAAGTAAGCCCATTTTTTGACAGTAAAATAAAATTTTTAACACTTGTGGTTTTTCTTTAAAATTACCCTGCTAAACCGGAGATAAGGGATTTAACCAAAAAAGCAATTATGCAAATCTGATTTGCGCAAGCGGCTAGGTCTTCATTTTAAAACAAAATGGCATTAAAATGTTCAAAGTTCGAAATTTCACCCGTTTTTTAGAACGTTATACCTTTTGTCCTGAAACTGTCCTGCTGATTCTGAAATTGATAATTCATTCAAAACACCATGCTGCTTAAATTTTTACTGAGTATTCTGTTTTACCCTGTTTTCTGTAGAAAAACTTATAGGTACTTCGGAAAAATTTTTTTTAAGATGTTCAGTTTTTTTCTTAAATTTGCCCACTATTCTCGAAAAATACTTGCTTAATCTGATATTGAGATTCAATTTAAAAAAAACAGTGTGCTGAAATCTTTAATCTAAAAATCAGGGCGTGGAAAGCTGAAGTTTTTTCCACACTTAAGTGAAAATTTTATAGATTTAGGAAAACTCAAATTTTTGAAGTTTAGGTCAATTTGGAATGATTTTTAATTATTTTTCAAAAATTACCCCGACAAATTTGAGATGAAGATTTCAAAGAGCGAATAGTAGTTTTCTGCTGTAAAATAGCGGTTAGTCCACTACTGAAGCAGAGATGCAGGGTTAAGCGTAAATCCGTTTTGTAATTTTTCAACTGACGCATTTCCGTATAAGTACAATATAAGTTCAAAAATATAAGAACAGGTAGATCCAGAATCAACAGGTCGGATATTCAAATCAGAAAAATTTAAAAAGTTTTGAGTTTATGGTCAAATTTTTGCTTCATAATATTGACACTTTGATAGAAAAATAGCTGCTTTATTGTTGGTTAGTAAGTAAAATTACAAGCGGTCGCGGAGCAGATGTGAGAACGTAATACTCCTAATTTCAAAAAAAAACTTTTTAAAGTGCATTCTGTTCTCTTTTCAAATTGTGTTACCTGTTTTATAGCTCTTTCTTACATTTTCTTTGCGTGTGTTTGCATCTATGTTGATTACTCTTCACTCAGCTTTGATGACGCTCAATTTGACTCATGCAATTTCTACGTTGTTTTAGCTCTTAACACTTGGTTTAATATTGCACCCCAACATTTTGCAGGCTCGTTCCCACTTGGCCTGGACATAACACGGTCGCTTTTGCACCCTATGGTCTGGTGTTTCACTCACGGCAAGACCTTGATTTCGATTGTCTGATCAATTTTGTCAACTTACGTGCCACATCACGCATACTTCTAGCGTTGTAAGCAAGAATCATGGTCATTGCAAACGTTTTTCAATGTAGTTTCAGGTAGGACTGTAAACTTTTTAAATTTTTTTTTTCATAAAATATTTTTCCGGCTCAATTTGATTCTGCCCAATTTGCCAAATCAGATTTGACTCAATTTGTTTCTGCGATTGTCGCCTTCGTTTCCGCTTGGTGAATTATGTTCCTTTGCTAACTTAGAATATTGCAATCGGGTAAAAGACTTTTTTTTCCGTAATTAACTTTGTTCACAGAATGGTCAAAATAGAAATAGCCAATTTAAGTTCATTTCATAATATTTTTATTTTTCCTTGCGTCTCCGTTACAATTGGTCTGGAGATAACCGAAAATGCACGAGAAGGCAATTGTCATTGGTTTGAATCTGACAGTACATTTCTTCAAACGTGAAACATTTGGTTTCGAGAAACTTGGCAAAATGTTTGTCTGTTTACGTTTTTTGCGCTTAGTTGCCACATCGTGGAAGTAATTTTCTTTTTGCTGTGCGCAGGTTAAATTTTAGTTGTTTTTAGTGATTTAATTTTGTATTAATGTTTGTAATTTTACTAGCCTTCGCTTCGTATATTTTCTCTTTTTTGCTTTTGTTGCTTAAAACATTTATTCTTCCCAAATAATTCCGGCTTAAATTTCATCAACTTAGTGACCTATTTTTAGAAGTTTCAAGGAAAACATAACTAAAACACTTCACTCTGGAGAGCACAAAATGCTAAGAAGTTTTTAAAAATTATAGTTACTCAAGACAACAAGTTATATTCTGGCATTTATGTTTTTTTTCTGTTCCTTTTGTTCCGCTTGACAAATTTGACTTAGATTTATTGGGTAAATGGCCTCATATTGCGTTTTTTGATGTGTAAAAAAGAATTTTAATGTACTTGTGTGGGTTTTGAGGGTGAGGGGGACTTGGTACAACTATATTAGTCTTAAATATTTTTGGTTATTTTCCTTTTTTTGGCTAATTAGGTTTCGGCTTGTTTTATATCGGCTTAGTGGACTCAAATTACTTCATTTGACGAGCAAAAAGTTGTGTGTGTGTTTTCAGACTTTTTTTCCCGTAATTAACTTTGTTCACAGAATGGTCAAAATAGAAATAGCCAATTTAAGTTCAGTTCATAATATTTTTATTTTTCCTTGCGTCTCCGTTACAATTGGTCTGGAGATAACCGAAAACGCATGAGAAGGCAGTTGTCATTGGTTTGAATCTGACAGTACATTTCTTCAAACGAGAAACATTTGGTTTCGAGAAACTTGGCAAAATGTTTGTCTGTTTATGTTTTTTGCGCTTAGTTGCCACATCGTGGAAGTAATTTTCTTTTTGCTGTGCGCAGGTTGAACTTTAGTTGTTTTTAGTGATTTACTTCGCTTCGTATATTTTCTCTTTTTTGTTTTTGTTGCTTAAAACATTTATTCTTCCCAAATAATTCCGGCTTAAATTTTATCAACTTAGTGACCTATTCTTAGTAGTTTCAAGGAAAACATAACGAAAACACTTCACTCTGGAGAGCACAAAATGCTAAGAAGTTTTTAGAAATTATAGTTACTCAAGACAACAAGTTCTATTCTGGCATTTATGTTTTTTTTCTGTTCCTTTTGTTCCGCTTGACAAATTTGACTTAGATTTATTGGGTAAATGGCCTCATATTGCGTTTTTTGATGTGTAAAAAAGAATTTTAAGGTACTTGTGTGGGTTTTGAGGGTGAGGGGGACTTGTTACAATTATATTAGTCTTAAATATTTTTGGTTATTTTCCTTTTTTTGGCTAATTAGGTTTCGGCTTGTTTTATATCGGCTTAGTGGACTCAAATTACTTCATTTGACGAGCAAAAAAGTTGTGTGTGTTTTCAGGTTGAGGGGTCTTGTTAACTTTTTAAGTCTTAAGTCTTGTTGATTTTTTTTCAGCTTCAATGTTTCTGCCACGGTATTTTTGTCTTTTTCACCACTTGGTGAACTTTTTCCGAAGCTTATTTCACATTCTAATGTTTTGGCTTGTTTTTTGTTTCAAATCTAGCCTTTTTTTTGCCAGATCTAATTTTTTTTCAACAATTTCGCTTTTTTTGTCAGCGGTTTTCTTGTTTTGTATCGCAAGAGGTGCAAAGCTCAGCTTCGCTTCCGCATTTGTTTTAATCGCTATGCTTTTGTATTTTGCAAAATTTTAAGACTTTTTGAAAAGAAATTACTAGGTTTCAAAAAAGGATATGCTTGGAAACAACTCCTACTCCCTTGTACCTGTATAATCCCTTAACCTTTTTATACTTCACCAGCCTGTCTGCAGCTTTCAAAAAAGTCTGTGTGGGAATATTTAATTTATTTTTTGAATTTTGCGTTCAAGTGACAGAACGGGTTGTGGGAAGTTCCCCATCATTACCGAATACACCCAACTTTTATACAAACAAATTGATCCTAGTATAATTAAATTATAATTTTTTTTGAAAACAATTGATCTTTTTCAAAAACTAATCTTTCAAATCTGAGTTTAACATGAAACAATTTTTTTTACACAAAAATCTATGATTCTCGAAAACGTCCAAATTCTAATTTAAAGACCGTTTTATGGAAATTTTTCTTTTCTCGATAATTATCCTGCCAAATCTGATATGTTAGGTTTGATCGAAAACTAAAACTAAAACTTAAATTGGCTGCTCCCATTTTTTTTCGAAGACTGCCATGGTTTTCCTAAAATGCAAAGTTTTTTTTCTAACTTTGACTGTTTTTTGGATTTTTTTTTAAAAAATTTTTTGTAAACTATCCTGCCAATTTAATCGAGAAACCAGATTTTGGGAGTTCAATCGGTGTTGGGAGCTTCTCTGCTTAAACTTTCAATCAAAAAAAATCGGTTTCGCCACGACCTCTTTTTTGCAGAAAAAATTTACGGATTTCTGAAAGTCTAGTTAGTTTTTGAACTTCTGTTTTCCTAAAAACCACTTTTCAATGCTGAGATAAAAGTGTCACTCGAAAAACCCGGCCGCAAAAACTTTTCCTGTAGAAGCGGGGAGTCGCTACTTTTCGTGAGAAAACAAAAAGGAAAAAACATTTTTAGCAGAGAAACAACTAACATTTCGGGCAAAATCCAAAACTTGAAAAAATTCATCTTACCCCGCTTCAGTACAAAAAAATCAAAAAATATCCAACAGCTATTTTTTTGAGGTACACGAAAAAAATTTTTTGTTTTGTTCGACTTCCTTCTATATCACGCGCAAGAACACCGTTTCAAAGTTATCTGATTATTGTACTTTCATGAATATGGTTAAAAAT